ATTGTCAATCCACGTAACCACTCCATCTGTTGAATACAACATGAACCGTTCAATAAAATAGCCTAATTTATCAATTAACCTAGACACTTTAATTTGAGGCTCTTACTGTCTCACCTTATACTTACGTAACTGTGTTTTAAAATTATGGACATCATCTATTCATGATGTTTAGCACTCCAGTATACGATAGATCGTTCATTGATTATTATTGTATTGTTGTTTGTTGCATCGCTAAGTTGATGTTGTATTAATTACACATATACGTGACATCTGATAATTTTTAATTCGTTTCTAAACTGGGTCCGTATTGACTTTGTACCATTTCTGACATCTGAAGCAATCCGCTTCGTATCCGCATACTATTCGCACCCGTTCCAGATCCACTTAAAAATTATGTTTAAAATATGATAGGACTATTAACGGTCCGAATCCGATCCATTTCCAACCCTAACAAAAAAAAAAAAAAGAAAAGCAGCTGTTCAGAAGTGGGAGAAGATCGATCTCGTAATCAAGTGCGAGCCAACGAGAGAGCAGCAGCAGCTATTGCTAGCGCGTGCAGTACCACTAGTCCAGTACGAGTACTCCACGCCGGCCGTGGGCGAGGCGAAGGGTCCCTTAATCCCGGCCGCTCCCACCACCCAAATCGGCCAGGTCTCCACGCGTTTTCCTCCCCTTTCCGACGTTTCCGTGCGGTGCGCGCGCGCGCGCGCGTGTGCGTGCGCGGGTTCGTTCGTATTTCGCGGTAGCCCGCCCCGCCTGCGCCGAGGCGCCGACACTTTGGCAGCTTCTCCCCCGCATCACTCGCGCTCGTCTACTACTATGGTTTTTCTTTTGTTTTTTTGGTTTTGTGAGCAACCGAAGCCGCACTGGGCTAGCGAGGTCAATCATGGGCACATTGCTTACAGCTTTTGTGAGCGAGACCGCCTCCTGGTGGTGGTGGTGGGTGTGGGTAGGGGGCCCCGTGGAGTATTAAAAACGAGTGGTTGTTGCGCTGGGCCACGTACTGGTAGGGCTACGTACGAGCGAAGCAGCGCGTGTGTCACGGAGCAGGCCTGACTCTGTTCGCCTCGGCTCACTTCACATGCATGATCGATCGATTCCCCGATTCTCCCGGCCCCCACAAACTTAGTCCGACCGACGCGCACATGTGGAGAGGCGGCTGAGGTTTGGATGCATTGTTTTCTCCTTTTCTTTTTCATGGGGAAAATTGCTCAGATGGGCACAAGTTGGATGGCATACTCTAATATGCCTCATAGTTTGTTGCCATTGCTAAAATGCTCTCTAAAGTTCAGGTGCACGCTTGTTTATTTGCCACGGTTCACCATTTCAACCCATCCGATGCATAATTTGCTTCTTCTTCTTCTTTTTTTTTTCCTTTGGTGCACTGTCTTCTTTTCTGTTCTCCACACATGGAGCTGGCTTCTCAGGATGGGGTGTACCGAGGCAGTAGGCCAAGGGCCTCTGGTGTGTGTTGGTGACAGCCAGAGGCCAAGGTTGAGCTAAAACTTAGGGCACGCACGTTGGAGAACACTACCAGTGGTCTCAACTCTCAAGGTGCCATGTGGATTAAAATCACACAAGAATCACATAACCCATAGTGGAGAACACCCTAATATATATTTTGCATTTCAACCCTTTATTATTTATATGAAGGTCCTTGGGGTATTTCTTGTAATAAACTAAATTAAAACTTTTATATTTTAGACCCTATCGCAGTGAAAAAAGATGCACATATATACCCTTACCCTCATATGGACCCCTCATATGGACCCCACCTGTCAGTCACACTTTCTATTTTTTTACCTATCCCACCACCCATCTCTCTCGTTCTTAATTGTCTCTTCCCTTTCCTCCATCGACACCTCGAGCGTTGCCATCATCCCGACACCTCGAGCGCCATCGGCCCACCATCCCTTCATGATTCCTCGTTACAAGAAACCACACCGCCCTCTCCTCCTCATCCTTGCTGAAAACCCTCATGATGAGGACATCCTCCACTATTACCCGCTGGCAAAGACATAAAAGTCGGGTGGCGACCGTGTGAGCCTCTGAATAATCCCACCTTGCTTAGCTTGGGAGGAGGAAGCCACCTTAAAAAGGAGAGCCACCCTTCCCCTATTGGACTAGTCTTTTAGGGAGATTGGGCCTTTCCCCGAGTGGGTGTGCCAAAGAACTGTTGGGGTCTGAGTAACCTTAAGTTATTGGGCCTCGGCCAACCTCACCTGGACCGGATTGTTATCACCTCATGTCTCCGGACGCTGCTAAGTGATGCGGATCCAGGCGTGGGGGGAATCTAGCAACCGGGCTATTGGCGGTGCGGATCCAGGTACGGCGGCCGCAGCCAAGTTCTTAGTGATAGCGGATGTGGCGCCCAAATAATCGTTAGATCTGTTGATGCCAACCAAGCTTTGTTCCCTCCCCAACCTCCAGTGTGCTAGCCGCTAGATCAGGACACTAGGGGTCTGTTTGGTTGATGACCTGAGTTATGTGCCTGAGTTCTACCTGGCCAGGCATGTTGAAAATTTGTTGTTTGGTTGATGATCCAAGCCTGAGTAAAATATATTAAACATAAAAAGTACACTTGTGTGAGTTAGGATGATTAAAAGTGTTGGTAGTAGTCACATCAATGAATAATCTATGAAGAAGAAGCAGGCATGCACCGTGCCTGCATCAGGCGTCCATTTTCGGTGGCCTGAGTCAGGCAAGTCTTCAGGGAGACAACCAAACAAAGTTGTGTGTTGCTCAGGCTTGCTACAGGCCAGGCAAATCTCCATCAGGGTAGCAACCAAACAGACCCTAGGTCATTGGCCTCTTCTTCCCTAGTCGTCGTTCTACTCGACAACGGCGACGATGGTGATGGGGGTCCTCCCGATAGCGTGAGATGAGGTGCACTCTCTTTCCCACTTTCTCTTCGGATTGTTGCCGACTGGACCACACTTTTGCTTCTTTTCTTCCCAAACCACCGTAGCTCATGTAAGGTAACTCTGACACAGATGTAGCCCCTCCCAAATCTCCACTGTCGCATCCAAACCTAGTTGGCGGCTAGAACCACAGGCCTAAAACCACGCTTTGAGCATGGCCTTAGGAGGGCTAATGACCAGATCTTAGATGGTGAAGCTCGGCTGATAACTAGAACTAGGATTGTGGAGGTTGAGACAAGCTAGGCTGCACGAGGCGGTGTAGTTTGTGTGAGCAACGAGGTGGTGCAATCGCTTGAATGCATGGGAAAAACGGAGCTCACACCCCTTTGTAAGGGTTTCTTGATGAGCGGTAAGATAATTGAATTTATATAGCTACTTGTGGAATTCTAAAGCCTAAAACACCAATTCTCATACACTATTACATCTATTTTGTTCTATATTTGATGGGTTGTTGTCTACCAAATAAATGAGGTAGAATGGAGAATCCATATATGATGCAATATTATGATTATAATTATTTGTTTTCCAATGAACACGCGTTTCATGCATAAATAAAAAGTTAAGCAAGAGAGACAAGATGTTCCCCCAAGTTCTGTTATCCCTGTTCTATTGGACTTCTGCCTTTCTTATTTTTTTAAAAAGGAAAAAGCTAGGGCCCATCTATTATAACAGATAATAGAGGCTACAGTCCTTATATTATACTAGTGTAGTATATATGGATAAGCAATATGAATCCAAACGACATTAATGGGCCTCACCTCTAATGGACCAATTTATGTTAAAGTTTCCGCACTAAATAAGCCATGTTAAGTATTGTTAACACCTGTTTTTAACAATTTGGTAATTAATGCATATACATTAATTAATTCTTGTTGTTTAAATAGGCTTCGTGAAGACTTGCAATATAATACAGTCCATCTATCTATTGCATATGTGTTGTAACATATCGATTTTGCTAGATATTTGTCATCAAATTTCTCCCCCTAATATTTGTCAGATGTAATTACAGTACAATCGTAGTGTAATTACACTGTAACTTGCATGTAATTACACTGTAACTATAATGTAACTTGTATGTAACTTTCAAGAATCTCTCGGTAACATGTTATTTCAGTAAAATAGAGGTCGCGGGAACAAATTCTTTCATATATGTGTGTGATGTGATTTTTTTCTTCCTCCATAGAACAAATCTTGTAATAGATCTAACGATTCAAAATTACGTGAAACTTACATACAAGTTACACTGTAGTTACATGCAAGTTACAATGTAATTACATACAAGTTATATTGTAATTACACTACGATTGTACTATAATTACATCTGTCAAATTTTTAGTAGAAAATTTGTCGACAAATGTATAGGTGGTCCCGTAACATATTACTGCCACTGTACCAAGGGCTGCTTGGTTAAAGTTCCTACGTTCGGGTAAAAGGATTCGGAACCTTTCTCCCTAGCATGAATTGATTCGTTAGTACATAATTAAGTACTACATCTATTTTGTTCCGAATTCTTTAGGTATAATTTTTTTAAAATGCATTGTTTAGTAGTTTAGGAAGTGTGCACATGAAAAATGAGAAAGTAGATATGGGGAAAAGGGAGTGCCAAACACAACCCTAAACATCCTTCTCCTTTGCTTGTGCATGAAGCAAAGGATTTGCTGGGGAGCAAAGAAAAATACTCTCTCCATCCCATTTTGAGTGCAACCATGAGTTTCCGCGTCCAACTTTGATCGTCCGTTTTATTTGAATTTTTTTATAATTAATATCTTTGTTGTTATAAGATGATAAAACATAAATAGTGCTATACTCGTGACTTACGTTTTTAAAATTTTTTAAATAAAACGGAAAATGGGACGGAGGGCGTATGCGTTAGATTGTTACGTAAAAGCACTTACAACATTTATTGAAATTACAGTGTATGTTTGAGTGTATTTTTTTCCTGACTCTAATTAAATATATGTTTGTTGAGTTCCAAACTTGTTTTCAGGAACTCCCATTCTTGCCAATGTGCAATTAACCGTTGCATGTACTTGAGTTTGTATGTACTTGAGTTCCAAACGTTGTATGCTAAACTTAAACTTGAAAAAAGTACGAATTACCCTCCTTAATTATTACGGTCGACCATATTACCCTCCTAACCCAAAAACCAGACATTGCTTACCCTAAACTTTCAATACTGGACGAATTACCCCCTCGACACTGTTTTGAGCAGTTTTGACTTGATCTTGCACGCATGGCACTAACGTGGCAATTCAATCAGCAAAAAGAATCCATGGGCCCACATGTCATGTCTCTTCCTACCCGGTCGCTCGCTCGCTCTCTCTCTCTCCCGTGAACGCGCTCGAGCAAGTGGCTGCGAACGGGCGGTGGGCGGCGGCGGGTGGACGGCGGCGCGCGGGGAGAGAGAGAGAGAGAGGGCAGAAGAGATAGGGCCAAGGCGTGTTGACCGGAAGTGGCGTCCGTCAGCCGCATAGGAGGCACATGGCGACGGAGGCTGGTCCCCTCAGGGAGCCGGCGGTGGAGTTCAATCGGTGCCTGTGGCCGAGGAGGAGATCCGCGCCGGTGGCCGAGGAGGAGATCCACGCATGTGGCCGAGAAGGAGATCCACGTCGGTGGCCGCCTCCTCGAGCATGAGCTCTGCAACTTCCTGCATAGGAGGTCGTGGAGGTCAGGGGGACGGGGAGAAGCGGCGAAGGTTGGCGACAAGACGTCCGTGCAGCTTCCAGGGATGAGGCCGACCTAGCAGCGTCGAAGGAGGCAGATCAAGATGGAGGTGGAGACGACGACGAGGCCGTGGCGCCTTCGAGCTCTCGACCGGCAACCGCCACGACACCTTCTCCTCAATTCGCGAGCGTGATAAGGGGATCGAGCTCCTCACCGTGGCTCCTCAACAACGACGGTCTCCGGCAACTGCCTTCGAGAGTGGCGACTTGGTGGTGTGCTTGTTGTGCCGAGGAGGAGAAAGCCCGGCCGGCAAGCTCGACGGTCGGCCGCTGTCGCATGCTTTAGCGAGGAGAGGAATTCAAGAGAAGAGATAGAGAGGGATACGGATTGAGAAAGACAAGAGGATAGAGGTGAGGGATAGATATGACAAGTGGGCCCACCGAACTTTTTTAAAGAATTGCTGACTGGACTGTCACGCGTATGCCACGTAGGATCAAAACCACTCCAGATTGGGTTAGGGGGGTTATTTGTCTAGTTTTAGTAGTTGAGGGTGTCAAATGTCTAGTTTTAAAGTCTAAGGGGGTAATTCAGACGACCTAAATAGTTCAGGGGGATAATTCGTACTTTTTTTTTCTTAAGGTAATTTATCATCCGAACATTTTCATTATAGTTGGATAAAGGACATTATGACTTTGTGGTTTTAGCTGCAGGACACTGCATAAAGTGACTTTTGGGGAAATACACTCTTTAAAGTTTGATATTTACCGGTGGACACCGCACGCTTTAAAATAATAATTTGTGGTTGGAGAGGAGAGAGAAATCACGTGAAAGTTTTGAAATGCCTTTGGGCCTGCATGTTAGCTCTCCTATCTCTCTTCTCTCTCTATCCCCTTCTTCCGGCTAGGGAGGATGCCGTGATAGGTCGCCACAGTAGGTCGATAGCTGTAGTGGGTGAGCAGCCACTGGCTGAAGTTTCGCTGCTTCGTGGGCTGCACCCTGGCGTGCCGTCTCAGCTCTGGGGCTGCATCGAGGTGAGGTCGACGGCGAACTTGTCGCCCTTGGATGCGGCGATGGAGGACTCCACCAAGGGGACAGCGTGGTCGACGCCGGGAAGGAGAAGGTCAAAGCAGTAGTCGAGGCTGTTTGAGGCGCCTGCCCTGCCACGCTCGCACCAACACTCGAGGCGGCCCCATGGCTCTCACAACCTGTTATCGATGGGGCGGAGGTTGAGCTATGTGCTCGGGTTGGAGCGACTCACCCGGTCTGTCCCCGGCAAGGCCACGAACGTTGTCACCATCAATGCCAGTACCATAGCCGAGGCGTACACCGCCACCTTCAGCATTGTCGGCCCGTGTAATGACGACGACGAGAACAGCGACGACTTCCACGCAAAACCACTCCAAATCCGCCTTGGACAGATGAAACGCGTCCGTCAGCGTCCCTGACGGCGTCTGCTCGCTGCCATCCGTGACCACCAGTGGCGCCGCGGTGACCTGCCATGGCATCCTCCCATTGCCAGATATTGACGGCCATCAGCATGGGCCATCAACACGGTTGGTGATGCGCACCACTTCTTCTTGGTGGTGGTGGTGGTGACGCTGGAGGGAGGGAGGGAGGGAGGAGGGGGCGGGGGGAGGGGGCTGGGAGTCGGCGTCGATGGAGGGGGCGACGGCGAGGCAGGGAGGAGCAGGCATTGGGCGAGGTTGGGGTCGAGCTCGAGCTCCCGGCGGAGGTGGTCGCAGAGCTCGCCAATCAGAAAGGAGCGGAAGGAGGAGGCAGCAGCGCTGGCCATGGCATCCTCCCTAGTCAAATGGAGGGGATAGAGATAGAAAAGAGATGGGAGAGCTGACATGTGGGCCCAAGGCATTTCAAAACTTTCACGTGATTTCTCTCTCCTCTTCAACCGAATATTATTAGTGTCCACCAATAAATATCCAACTTGTAAAGTGTCTTCCCCAAATGATGTCCTATATCTAAAACCTCTAAAACCGTAAAGTCACGGTGTTATGTAGAGAAAAAAAAGCTTTTAATGTGTATTCCCCAAAAGTTACTTCGTGTGATGTTCTATATTTAAAACCGTAAAATCACGATGTTTTGTAGGAAAAAGATTTGTCTTAAAATAATAATATGATCACGAATATGTCAGGACATACATCAGCTCTATTTTAACTCTGCTATTTTCTAGGAATAACGTGTATTAAGTCATTAGGAATTGCTGGATTAAGCAGAAATTGCAAACTCTCATAGTAAAAAGCGAGAAAAAAAATGAAACGTAACCATAAAACAGGTTGCCCATGCGGATCCACAGGTTAAAGTCTAGTATAAATTCTCTGCACCAAACTAAGAATTAACAAATTAACACCATGTCCTTGTTTCTAAGTTTTTAGTATGAACTCAAAAGAAAATGTGGTCACCATCATTCATCAATACTGCCCGGCCCTAATTAGTCAGAAAAATGCACTCCCAACACCAGAAGGTTGCAATCAAAATTAGATGCACCTACATCATGCAGGAGGCAGCCACATTGTAAATCTGCTCTCTACAACTGATAGAGAAGAAGCGTCCAACAAGAAATTAGTACCATTTCTACACTTGAGTAACAAAATGTTCAATAGCTTATTTGTAAATGATATGAGCACACTTGCGTTGTTCCATAATGTATACACAAGCAATTTCTTCATGTTATGGCTGGATAACAGATGCTCATAGCTTTGCATGGAAAATCTGTTAAAAGACAATCACCACGCAAGTTCATGATAGAAGTATTAACAACTACAGAGCATTGTTAAGCAAAACAAAAACCCAAAGGAGACGCCTCATTTCGTTCACAAACCTAGAACTATAATTATAATACAGTAAACAGAACAAAATTCAATCCAGTGCATTCCCCCTCAGCTCCCACAATTTCACTGTGCCATCATCACTTGCTGATGCCAACATCCTCGGGTCCTAAAACATATTTGAGAAGATTAGTACATTTATCTGAAGTTTAAAAGATAAACAGAACCACGAAATGGGTGGTAATTGGTAGAAACATAAGTATTCCATTGCACTAACTTAATATAACAATACTTATATTTTTGTTAATTCCCTGATATTACCTGAGGACATAAGTATTCCATTGCACTAACTTAATATAACAATACTTATATTTTTGTTAATTCCCTGATATTACCTGAGGACACCAGCGGACACAGTTTATATCCATGTCATGTGCCTTCTCTTTCTTTAAAATTAATCTGTATGAAGGTCCCTCAACCTGCAGCAATGAAGGTAAGGAATTAGCATCCTTCTTCAGCTTTCGCAAAATAAAATGGCATTATGGTAGAGGGAATAATAATTGTACAGTTTTTTGGAGAAAATAGTCATACATAATTTGCCAATAATCAAAACAAATGGCACAGCACTGGTTACCAAAAAATGATACAACAGTTTATCGATTGGTCATGTTCACATTTTACTCCTAGGAAAATTTTGACAACCAGGAAATTATGGAATCCCTATCAGAACATTGCACTCCATTATTTATTATTAAATATTTACCAAGATATAACTTTGACAAACAGGCAGGCTAAGCACAGAATGCAAAGACCAAAAATCTTGAGAATATGAATGTGCTAGGAAGGGTATGATACCATACTACTCTTGTCCTCAGCAAATAAGCAGATTGCATCATCACCTGCGCCACTGGCTATAATATCCTCGCTGTCATGCCAAGAATGAACAGGAAAATGTCAAAGAATAGTAAATACACTATTCTATTCATTTTAACATCTTGATTCATATGGGCTGAGGTAATATTGGAAAACTACAATAATGATTAAAAGAGAAGAAATTACATCAGATAAACCACCATCAGTGCCCACAGAATTTCTGGTAGTAAAATTTCTTCCTTAAAATGGGCATCCAACATTTAAGAATGCAGCAATGGTACTAAGAGACACAGATAAATAAATAACAAGAATAGGAAAAAGAAAGAAAGAATGGACTGCAAGGTTAGTACTTTAAACAGCCCTGTTTTGCTTGAATAGGTATCTTGATGTATATAAAGTTTATCAGCATAAAATCATAAACACAACAAGTGCATCCTTTTAAAGAACATATAGCGCTCTCAAATAGAATCAATAAACTAATAATTATAAAATTCATATTGACGTACTGAATTAATAGAGCGAACTTAAAATTTTTTAAAAAGCAAGGTATTGAGGCATTAGTAAACACAACCATAGTTTCACGAATTTGTGGTTTCGTGACACTAGTAGAAGCAAACCATAGGTCTTGTTAGTTGGCTTGAATTTATCTACTAACCTCCAAGCATAATGTGGACTTGAGCAAGTCTAACTTCCTGCTTTCTATTATTCATTCGATCACTTTGCCACTGACACCGTTGAGGGTTATTGTTGTTATTTTTGGCATATTATTATTTGGCATGAAACTAGATGGGTAAAAATCCAGCATGCTATGAACAAAATAAATGTTTATAAAATTCCATATGTTCTGCAGTAAAAAAAAAATCCATATGTTCATGAATTTCCTTATATTGAAAATTTTAGGATATAAAACTGGAACCCTATGGTGAGAATTGAGTTGCTTTGACAGTTTGGTGGACTCCAAATACAACAGGGCTTGTAACAGCATGAGAACTCGTAGTTTTGTGAAAACTGGTGTTACTAGTGCCCCGAAAACCTTGGGTTTATGAAATATACTTGTTGATAAATCATGCTCACAGTTTAGCTGAGGAACAGAGTTAACTTGTTAGTTCTCTATGATAAAAATCATGTGTATCAAGGATATCTTGGTGCTTAGAGATCACCTCACCTTGACCAATGGGCTGAAAAAATGGTCCGGTTATGATATCCCGTGAGAGTAGAAAGATGTCGCCTGAAATCAAATAACAACCATCCTGTTAAGGAGACATGGTATGGAAAAGAGATATTTTTGACACTTCACTGCTGTGATGTAACAGCAGTATCAATTGAACTAGGGCAATTACACTGAAGTCATTATTATTCAGTGATGCACGGAACTACCTCTGTTTCATATTGTGAGTCACGTTGACTTCTTTTTCTAGTCAAACTTTTTAAAATTTGACCAAGTTTATAGAAAAATATAACAATATTTTCAACACAAAACAAACATATTATCAAGATTCAAGATATTTTCTAGAAAACTTACTTGGTTTTGTAGATGTTGCTAAATTTTTCTATAAACTTTGTCCACCCTAAAGAAGTTTGACTAGGAAAAAAGTAAAAGCGACTTATAATATGAAATGGAGGGAGTAACAAGTATGTCTTATCCAAAAGGAAATAGCCACCATACATGTTAGTTCACCCCAGTATAAAGCAGGGCAGCAGAAGTTTAATCGATATTGATCTTACTGGTAAATTAGATCTTTCCGTTATAGCACTAAAATATAGTACAGCTAAATTAGCATGTTCTGCAATAGAAAAGAATTTATGCTAGCCGGAGACCAAACAATTCTACTCTCTGAAGGACATGCCTATCCTCATTTATTGGTGTACGTTGATCACAGCCTCACAGAACTACACTAGAGAATACAAAAATATAAATTACAAAAATAAGATTGTATAAAAGCAATATTGGCATTAATAGATTTGCTATAGTAGTGGCATAGCTGTTTCCAGGGAATTATAACTAAGTTTTAGCTTAGCTTTTAGGCAGAGCTACGATATTTCAAAGCTATCAAACTTTATACAGCAAATATGAGTCAATAAATTCAAGAATAAGCCAAGTAGAGAAAATAGGTATTAATAGCACGCTCTTACCATGATTCCTGGTTGTCACTAGTTTTTGGTTGAGACAAATCAGCACTTGTGTCCCATATTTTCAATGTATGGTCATCACTGAATAACAGCTGTATGACATTAGTAACTTTTCGGGTGACCTGTTTGGAACGCAGGAATTTCACAATCGACAAGAAGCCGGGGAAACCCCACATTCCATAAGAGGCCTTGAATATCATTTAAAACAGAGAGTAGCTATTACAAAACAGACCTGCATGTGACCATCCTATCACCTTTCTGGTTAAAAGATAATGCCCATACTGTTGACGAGTGACCACTGGAATTAAAAAGAACGAGATCAATTAGACAAGGAAAAGATACAACAATTAGTCGAGCACTGAAAGTAGGAAGAACATATAAGTATTAACATGCCAAACAGAGAAAAATGAGTTCATCAACAATTGAAGTGAACATTGAAAAGGAGAAAAAAAAACGTATGTTTAACTAATTACAAAGCAGGATGGCAGCAAAGTGATCTTATTAGTTATTATCGAGGAAAGTTGAAGAAGATCCCTAATTGTCTATTGTAAGATAACACAAACACATTATTGTGACATAGAAGCCAAAATATTGCTGTAGCAAAGTAGAAACAGCACAAAATATCAAATAACTAATGTCTAATGGAGAAAGGAAAGTAGGGAAAGTCAAATAACTAATGGCCATGGAGCAGAAGTTACATTATTTTAATTATAATAAAGAGCATCATGCCAGCTGAAATTTGATGATTTGGTAACATTATACAGTGATGCATGTTACATGCTAAATAAGTCAAACAGATTATACCACAACCTAGTACCAGCTCTATGAAACATGGGATGAAAAAAAGGCCACAGGGATACCAAGGCTAGTTACCAGTTATTAGCTTCAGTTAATGTCTGTACACAGTGCCACTCATCATCACCGTCATCAGCCCAGACCTTCGCCACAGAAAATTTGAAATCAGCCATTATTACACTTGAACACTACCAAATGAAATAAGCAAACGCATCACAGCTACAAAGCATAGGGGAACAGCAAGAAATGCTTGTGTGCGATCTAGGCATTTGTTTGAAATTAACAGCGTTCATACTCTGATTGAATTGTCGTAGCTGACAGAAACCAGGACATCAAGGATAGGGTGCCACTGCACCATCTTCACGTCTTGTGTGTGGCCTTGCTGCACCGAGACACACTCGTATTCGTTTCCTGGCTGCATCTCCCATATCCACACCGACTTGTCCCGGCTGCACGTCGCGAGCAGCGACCCGGACGCGCTCCACGACACGCTCTTCACCTCATTCTCATGGCCCTGCACACACCCCCACAACAGAAGTAGTAAATTCAACACGCACAACCAAACGATCACAATGCACCACAACAACAAACAGTCTTAACCCCATATCTGAAACTCCCGAGAGCCATTTTCAACCTCCAAGGTGGCGACGCACTCGAAGTCGCCGCCGGAGTACTCCCATATCGCGGTGGTGGAGTCGAAGCTCGCGGTGGCCAGCAGCTTCCCGTCGGGGGACCATGCGCACGACCTCACCGTGCGGTTGTGCGTGTCCTCCAGCACATCCTACCCAAACCGAACCCCAAGTCAATCAACACGCGTTGCAGCTGCAGCAGCATCAGCTCGAACGAGGAGGGGATCGGGCGTGATAGTTACCGAGCACTGCCATGCGCCGTCGGCGGCGCGCTTCCAGATCCGGACGGCCTTGTCGCCGCCGCAGGAGGCGAGGACGGGGCCGGCGCCGGCGCCGGGGGAAGGGTTCCACGCGAGGGACCACACGCGGTCGGTGTGCCCCGTCAGGCGGTGGGCCTCGCGCAGCACCGCCGCCGCGCCGCCGTCCATGGCCATGGCCCCCGACTCCGACTCCGACTCCGCCGCCCCCGCGCACCGGCGATCGCTGTTGCCCTAGGGTTTTTGGCGGAGGGCCGCGATGGCTCGCCGGAGTGGTGGTGGGGTGGGAGGGGAGAGGGCGAAGAGGAGGTGAGGTGGGAGGCGGCGGCGGCCGGCGACGGCGAGGTGGGGGAGGTGAGAGGTAGGGGGAGGAGTCAACCGCGCGTGGTGGGCACGTGTGCGAGCGTGACGGTGATAGGCTATAGGTGCTCGGGAGGACGGATCCAAACCGTTGGTTTTGAGGAAGGGCGATTCCCCCAACCGTCGGATGGCCGCCAATTGGTCATCCAATTAGTAATATTTTACTAAGCATTTTTATCAAAATCGCCTTAAAAGGGGATGATTTGAGGAGCGTTTACAAAAATGCCTTTAAATGTCATTCCACTTGTAGTGCAATGTATTTCCCTTTTCTTCCTCTTTTGTGAACTTTTCCTCTCTACGTCTATAAACAAATTAGCAAACCCCATCCTTAGTCCAAGATTTCATCTCATACCACTTCATCAAATCTAGTGACGGAAATAATCATTCCCTCTCTAGTCCCGCATGTCTTGGAAAATTCAGTCCTACGAGACGTACACACATCATTTTGCTAAAATGATTACTTCAATGCGAGAGCGGCACCGATGCGAGGCGATGCAAATGTTGAGCCTAACATAGTCCATTTCAATTCATACCCTTTTGGTCCTATATTTAAAGGTATGCATGTCTCAACTCCCTTTGATTTAGCTATAATCATTATTCTTTAAAAAATGGAACGACCGAAAGTGAAATCAGGGCTAACCCTCTCATCTACTAGAGGTTGCAATGCTCAATGGAGGCGGCCTTGATGGGTGTTGTTGCCAACAGTGCCATGGGTCTCTCACCAAAACGACACCTACGAGAGCGCAATCTTGGCAAGATCGCTACTAGTGACACTAGGATTAATCGTGGGCGCGATGCATGTTGTTCTCATCTTTTTGGGGACTTTAGCCAGCATGAAGCGGGAGGTGTTGTGAGGGTGGTTGGGATTTGGGTGTAGAGCGAGGAAAGAAGACGAGCGTGAGGAAATTCGATGAGTATGGTGACATGATGACCTTGATCATCGTGATGTCACGTGATGGCCGTAGGGACCTCGATGACCTTGATCATCGTGATGTCACGTGATGGCCGTAGGGACCTCGAGGATTCTAGTGGCCGAGTGTTTGTGGGTGACATAATGTTTACCTTCCTTCTGTTAAATACGGAGTAGGTAAAAAATTTAGGTTCTGGGGCTAATATTTTTACTATCTCCGTTCTTTAACCTAAATTAAGGCTAAAACTATCGTGCCCTCCATAAATCAAGGCTAAATTGATTGTACAAACTAAAAAGTGTGACCTCCATAAAACTACCAACAGAAAATATGTTTTCCTCCTCCCACACGTGCTCCCCTCGCCCAAAAGTCGATTCCTCCTGCACGCACCCACCGACCTCTCCCTCCCTCCCTTGCCACAAGCAAACAGCCTTTGAATTATCTAGCAGCATATCAGATCAGCTATCATTCATATCAACAGCAACAACACCATTTAGCTCTAGCATTTCAGCAACATTCAACGTACACCTCAAAGTATATCAGCAGCAAACAAACAACAACCCGCTTCAATTAACCGCACCTGTAGCAACATCACAATGGCCCGCTTAGTCTGGGATGAGCTTATTAGTGATGCTACTTGGAGAACTTGAGGATGGTGTTGGTCGCGACCTCTGCGAGGTACTCTCTCTGTCCATAAATATTCGACGTTGTTGACTTTTTTAAACACGTTTAACCGTTCGTCTTATTCAATTTTTTTTAAAATATACAAAACTATATGTATACATAAAAGCATATCTATCTATTATATACTAAAAGTCCATTAATCTCCCTACAAACGCTCCTAAGCCATCATGTGACGTTCCTACAAACGCTCCTAAATCGCCACATGGCTATTTTCAATCTAACCGTCGAGTTTCACTTAAATTGGTAGCCCCATTATTTTACACCATTAGATTAGATCTACTTGAAAAGTCATTGCTACTCCCTTAACGTATAAGCTTTATACATGAGAAAGTTTTACGAGAAAAATTAAAGTATATTCCGATCGGATATAAACCCATACGTACTGCTCGCTTAAAAAAAAACTAATATACGTGCAGCTATAAAGCCAAAAAAAGTACTACATTGTATATTGAAGCCGTATATACCGGAAAATCATGTCCATACGAGTGAAACCGCTTAGACCGAAAAATCTACATACGTACGCACAATTAAAAAAACAGAAACTTTAGAAACGAACGTACATATGCGTAGACAAAACCAAGAAAAAAATGTACGTATGCGTAGACAAAAAAACAGATGGTTTTTTAAAATAGTATTTTCTATAGTAGAAAAACAAAACTTATTACTTCACAAATATGGTAAAAAACGTACAATAAAAAATATATGATTTGAAAATATATGTTTTCAGCTACACGGGCATTCTTTAAAAAGTTGATCTAACAGTATATACAGTGACTGACTTTATTTATGCGTGCAAGTGAAGTGGTACTGGAAGAAACAATATATAGTCACTTTCTTTTTATAATTTTTCATATACGTTTGAATGACATGCATAGGATAGTAAATGGAACATGGAAGAATAAACATTTTATGAGTGAAGTAGATAACTTACGTATGAATTCTAATTGTGATTTTTATCATAAATAACACAATGGTCCAAATAGATAAAAAAATAAAGGTATGATTTAAAAGTTAAAAATTATAATGAGTTAAAATATATTGTTACAAATAAATATATAATTCAGAAGGTTGTGGTTATTTAAAAATTATTGTTGCAAATATTTTCATAAAGAGAAAAAGGGAGAAAATGTAATCAAGAGGATAAACTTCCTACAAACGCTTCTAATCCGAACATAGTACCCTATAAATGCTCATAGACCACCATGTGGCACTCTAATAAATCATAGAAATTGTATAAAATAAAAAAAATCCCGACCAATCGGTTTTCATTTAATTTGGTGGACCCATTATTTTCAACTATTAGATCTATCTTAAAACTACAAAATAGATTTACTTGTAAAAAGGCCCATGTCGTATTGGCACGACCGGCCAATATACATGCACGTAGGTATGTAGGTATTCCTTCTTAAGAAAAGTACGTACCTACGTAGAGTATGTACACAGCTATTCCTATAAACAGTGCGTATACACACCGCGTCCCACATCCTTATTTTTTTTTCTTCTCATCATTTGGATTAGATGGAAAACCAAACTAATAATTTAAACTAATATCAACTATGCTTTGCGTTGTAAAAATATATGCTATTTCGAGTTGTATTCAAATTAGGCGCATGTCATTGAAACACCCATAAAAAATATAAATAAATTGAAAGTATAGATTATGTGATAGTTAAATTAGACTTACATTTTCCAAAATAAAACAACTTCAAGTGTGTGTAGAATTTCAAAAATTACTCACTCTCTCTTGTAAAAAATACTGATATGGAAAAATGATGTTATAAATTTATCATAAATATTTTTTATGTATTATGTGTTTACTCTATTCATATATTATTAGAAAATTGAAGATCAAATATATTCATTTGACACCACGTCAATATCTTTTTCTCCTACTTAGCCTTCGTTCGATCTAGCTCATTGACTTAGCGTATCCAGGGCACACGAAAAGTCACAAGTCATTAGCACAAGATTAATCGAGTATTAAATATTGAAAGCTTGAAAATGGATTTATTTGTATTTTTAGAAAACTTCTATAATAAAAAATATTTTGTAAAATATGCACCGTTTAACAATTCGGTAAACATGGTCATGATAAATAATGAAGTAGCCACTCTGATAAGCACTTTAGAACTTAACCATAAATTTATTACATATGCACTAAAACTTAATATGTAGTGTATAATATACTTTGTGAATCTAGGATAGTATAATATATCAATCGTATGTCCCCGATAAATTCTATGTAATAAGTTCTATATACAAACCAGTGTCAACAATCGTCGAGTTATATTGTTTATGATACATCCATGCACAATGCACTTAATAATTAGTTGACATCCAATAAGCACGTGCGTCATCAAGCACCGAAGATATATGATGATACTTAGTGGGAACCCATTAATAAAAAAAATGATATATAAGTAGAGGATGACACAAAATCACAACAAACAGTAGTTGACTACAAGTAGACTGTGAGTTTAAGCAATAGCGTTCCTATACTTCTACAAACACTTGTGAGATGTCATGTGATGCTCTAATAAATAGGAGGAAATTTAAGAAAAAATATAAGGAGAAAACAAAACATCTACCCATCGATTTGCACTTCAACCGATGAATCCATTATTTTCAACCATTAAATTAGATTTATTCAGGTAAGCCCTTGCTTCTATAAACTAGCTAATCCCTCTCTATGCACGTACATATATAAGAGATGACAAAAATAAAAAAAGAAGTGTGTGTATATATATGCACGTACATATACGCAATGTCAAAAATAAAAAAGAAGTGTGTGTATATGGTTCACCCCATCTGGTAGTTTTCAATTTCTTTCTTTGTAGCCCTAAGGTTCTCCCAAATTATACATATATGTAGCGACCACTCTTTGCGATGTTGTCAAAGAAGCCACGCTGCCATGGCGCCGCTTCATGTCACCCTCGCCAATTTTCTTGAAAATATTTTTTTTGACTAACAATGTAAAACGCAATCATAGGTGGTCATTTAAACGTGTGTGCACCCACCCTATGAATACACATACGCACACCCTACCTCCTATGAGAGAGAAATATTTGTCAAAAAAACATGAAAAAGAACGAACATACGAGAGACTACCATTCGAGAAAAAAAACTTACGTACATACGTACAATAAAAAATGTCATATGGAATCATATTTTATCCCTTTTAATTATGTCGTTCTCATATAAATTGTGTTAACAATTAGTACAAATAATTTTGACAATATAGAGTATTTCTTTGTACATTACCCATGAACATGCGTAAGTGAATTACATGTATAATAAAAGAAAAAAAACATCAAAACTCATATTATGTTTGCAAAGAATGATGATAGGTAAGTTTACATATAACCGAAACAAAGTGATTTTTTGTTTGAATATGATAGACACTATCATTTACCTTATCAAATTCAC